ATCAACAACAACAACAACAACAACAACAAGAACAACAACAACAACAACAACAACAACAACAAACAAGAACAACAACAACAACAACAACAACAACAACAACAAAAACAAAAACAACAACAACAACAACAACAACAACAACAACAACAACAACAACAACAACAACAACAACAACAAAAACAACAACACCAACACCAACAACAACAACAACAACAACAACAACAACAACAACAACAACAACAACAACAACAACAACAACAAGAAGAAGAAGAAGAAGAAGGCCCTGATAGACCCCCAAACCGTTTTCTAACCCCTCAGGCACCTGGATGAACACCAATAACTCCGGAGAGGGGAATGCCAATGCTCCTAAACCCCTAAACCGGGTTAACATTTTTGGTTTACCACACTCGATGCCTTTATCACTGAGACCATCCGAGACAGCAAAAACCCCCAGTCCGAGAGACTCGGTGCGCGCAGATGCACAAAGAAGAGTGCAAAGCTTTGTTGGAGATGTACTAGAGGCTTAAGCTTGCGCATCTGCCAACGGTCGGAGTACCAGGTCCCTATATATTAGGATATTTACTATTTTCGTATATTAGCATATTGGTATAGTTAGTATAGTAGTATTTCGATATATTCATTGGTATATAGAGTTCTGGGTTTAGGATTACGGGTTGCAGGATGGACATACCAAGATGTCAACGTGCTTGTAGGTGCCACCCGCAAAGTTGTTCCCGAACGCATGTGGGGTTCTGACCTCTGGTCCCTGTTGGGGTCCAAACGCAGAACAGCCCCCCATGGCAAGATGTGGGACTGCGTCGTCGCATCGATACGGCATCCAGAAACGACAAAGGAACCCCCCTGAGATCAAGGGCCCTAAACCCTAAACCCCTAAACCCTAAACCCCTAAACCCTAAACCCTAAACCCTAAACCCCCTAAACCCCCTAAACCCCTAAACTCCCTAAACCCCCTAAACCCCCTAAACCCCTTAATAGTCAGCCTGAAGCCGACCTGGCCTTATAATTTTCGCCCAAAGCCATCCCAAACTCACCAGCTTCTACAGTGGCTTAGGGTTTAGGGTTTAGGGTTTAGGGGTGTGGCAAGATCAGCCCTAAACCCGAAAGCCTAAAGGCTAAAGGCTCAGAGGCTTGGGGACATGATCGGCTGAATTGCCGTGATTTGAAAAGCTCGGTCTGGAGGGTTTAGGGTTTGGGGTTTAGGCGACTATGCAATACATGTGTGGTCAATGCCTTCCACATGCCGTAAGGACTGAACACAGGTCCCACGAAAGCGTCAGAGATTCATAAAGCATTCTGGTCTGCTGGTGGTTGTCAAAACTGGGGTCGCTTTTCGGTTCCCAAGCTAACATAGGGTGCCGTAGTTTAACAAAACACACATTGATATTACCCTAAACCCTAAACCCTAAACCCTAAATGGGGTTCCCCAAAGCGACCAAGATTTTGACAGCTACAGGGAAAATCTGAATTCAGCTCGGCCCTGTCCTGCCCTCACCGGTGCTCGAAGGGTATCCGCCTGTAGGGGTCTTTGGTTTAGGGTTTAGGGTTTAGGGTTTAGGGTTTAGGGTTTTAGGGTTTAGGGGTCTTTGGTTAAGGGCTTGATGGGTTTAGGGTTTAGGGGTCTAGGGTTTAGGGCTCGATGGGTTTAGGGTTCAGGGTTTCGGGGTGTTGGATTTGGAGTTTTGGGTTGGATCCCGCCTTTGGCACCATCCACATCCGATCCGCAAGGCTTGGCTGCGGGCTCTGGCTTTCGGGCCTCAAGGGCTCGGCATAGCAAGCTGGCGACTTCGTCTCGCGTGCAGGAGGAGAGGAGGTGCTCTGTGAAAGCACCTCGGTCTTTTACGTCCACCGCACTCATGTTCACGATGTAGGGTGGCCGCGTGCTCATGTCGTGCCTCTTGAAGTCATCGAGCCATGTCTCGTCGCCGAGAAAAACAACAAAGGGCTGTTCCTCGTTGTACCTTTGTGAATTGAACAAGGCCACCCTGAAGTCCCGGCGGTTGGACACCTCTACCGGCTCTTCAACACCAAGGGCCCGGGCATGTGCCATGAAGATGAAACGTTCATAGTCATATCCTCCAGCGACAAGAATGTCTACCTTCCCCCTGAACAGCTGTTTGGCTCCCATAGTCCAGGAGCGTGGAGCAACCTCCATGCTGCTGGTAGCCGCGCTGGCCTCCCCCTGCGGATCAGTATGGCTTCGTGCAGCAGGAATCATGTCGACAGGTCTACAATCTGAGCACAGACCCTTGCTAGGCGACCTGTTGCCGCCTTCGACGGATAGACTCCTTCACGCAGGCAAGGGGCGGTGCAACATGAGTTTAGGGTTTGGGGTCCAAGGTTCAGGGTTTAGCCTGTAGAGTTTAGGGGTTTGGGGTTTAGGGGTTTTGGGGGGTTTTGGGGTCTAGGGTTTAAGTTACCTTCAAGCGCACATTGAGTCTGGAAGGAAGGAAAAAAAAGGTGCGGACGAATACTGCCCAGCAGTACTGCCGGCAGGTGACCTACGTTCACAACAGGAGCCCGAAGGGATGAGACGGCTGAGGATACAAATCCTGCACTGCCCATAAGTAGGACTAGACCATAACTCCCATAGTTTAGGGTCCTAAAGGTCATGCAGGACTTGTATCATCAACAGTATCAATCATCCTAGAGCCTGAACGAAGGGATAACATTAAAAACGATTCAGGCCAAAGTCCGCAACTTTCCTTTCCGCTAAGGCCCGGGCCGTAGACTTCGTTGTAAACCTCTTCGTCATGGCGCTGGGGCTTAGAGTTTAGGGTTCAGGGTTTACGGTTGGAGGGTTTAGGACGGTTTAGGTGTCAATTGTTTCAGGGAAAGGTTGGCTCCAGGAACCATCGCAGGGGCCCCAGCAATGTTAGAATGGTTTCGGGGCACAGTATAGTATCGTGGAACCCTAAACCCCAAACCCCAGAAACTCTTTGTGCCTTAGCGATAGGCGAAATCCGAAACCAACCAACAAGCCGGAGCGGCATCAGAAGCAGTAGCAGTAGTTGTCGTAGTAGTAGCAGTAGTAGTAGTGGTAGTAGTCGTCGTCGTCGCAGTAGTAGTAGCAGCCCATGCTTGACATTGGCGCGGGAAATCACGGTGCTAGATTTTTCCCATCCACAGTCCCCTTCGGCACGTGTTGCCTAGTATGTTTTTTACCAGCGCGAGGTATTAGCCATTGCTTCGAATCGTGTCTGTGGCTTCAACTGCTTTCACTTTGCTGGGATGCAGTTTTGAGTTGCACTCCCAAGGTGGCTCACACGCAAAATGACAGTCAACACGCAGTCAACGCCACAGACAGTACAGTCCACCTGACAGTCACTACAGTCAACACTACCCAACCCCTAAAAACACGTAGCAAATTCCGCAATTTACTGGTTTTGAAGCTTCGTAATGTCCAGAACAGCAAACGCTGGATTGTCTAACATTTTGGCAATGTTGATGGTGATGCTGACTGGGTGTTGACTGCCATTGTGCATGTATTTGCTCGGTTTAGAGGACAGCCGTAGGCTCTCTTAGCTTGAATGTCCAGAAAGCAAAATGCTCGATTTTCCCGAGTTTTGGCGGTGTTGACTGTCACCTCTCCCTTAGAAAAGGGTGGGTACACACTGTCTGTTTCCTTCTACTGCACACGACATTGGTGGGGTTGCAAAAACTGCAAAAGCACTTCTGCGCGTCGGTTACAGTAGTCAGCAGCAGTGGCAGTCGCAGTCGAAGTGGCAGTGGCACTGGCAGTCGCGGTAGCAGCAGTAGTAGTAGTAGTAGTAGCAGCAGCCAACCTTTCTGATGCTAGGACTTGTCAGGAGAACGTTTATATTGTTTTCTTGAGCCCAGCATTGCCCTAGCAACAGTTTTGTCGCTAAGCATCATCTGCCTAACAGTTCCAGATGCGGTGCCCTACAGGCCCTTCGGGGCGGGGCGGCCGTAGTCTTTAGTAGTAGTCGTCGTCGTAGTAGTAGTAGGTAGTGGTAGCAGTAGCAGTAAGTCCCAACAACAGTCAGAAGTCGTAACCCCCAAGCCCAATCCTTGAAGAGCAGCTCGAAACCCTGAGCCTACATGACATGTGCATATTCTGACATATGTGCCATGAATAAACCCCGACCTCTTGCTGGAAATTCCACAGCTTGCGGCTGCAGAGGCGTTGCGATAAGGTCCTGGGTCGGGCACGAAAGGCCGAGGGCTGCGGGTGTGTGACTGCGGGCAGGCCTGGATTTCAGGAATCGTCGGTTCGGGGAGGATTGAGGGTTCGTGGCAAGGTGTAATCCTCACGGATACATAACCCGAATAGGTTGAAACTGCTAGTGCGACTCTACAGGCGCCACTGCCATGATAGACTGTCACTGCTCACTCGCTACATGCTGACAACCATCACCGATCACAATATCAACATCAAGATGATGCTGATGACGATGCCGGTGACGATGACGATGATGTTGATGATGATTGTGACGATGCTGCTGATGTGGATGGTGAAGATTTTGATGATGATAACGGCGGCAACGGTGATGATGGTGATGGTGATGATGATGATGGTGATGATGATGATGATGATGACGATGATGATGATGATGATGACGATGATGATGATGGTGGTGGTGGTGCTTATGCTGATGACGATGACGATGACGATGACGATGACGATGACGATGGTGATGATGAAAATGATGATGACGATGACGAAGGTGACGGTGATGGTGATGGTGGTGATGATCGTCATGATGATGATGATGTTGGTAGTGATGATGATGATGATGATGATGATGAGGATGAGGATGAGGATGAGGATGAGGATGAGGATGAGGATGAGGATGAGGATGAGGATGAGATGAGGATGAGATGAGGATGATGAGGATGATGATGATAATGATGATGGGGATGATGGCTATTATGATGCTGCTGACGGTAAGGATGAAGACGCTGATAATTATAATCATGGTAATGGTGCTGACGATGATGATGATGATGATGACCGTTGGCTATGGTGAGTGCAGCCGTGCCTTTGGTGCTGACAGGGAGAGTCAAAGTGAGGTCGCTGATCTCGTCGCACCCCTGCTCTTTTCTTGTGCCCTGTGCTTTACGAGCTCTCCTGCAGCTCAAGCTGTCGATGTTGAGGATCTTTAAATCTTACATTTTTAACCCTATATGTCAAGAAAACTCAAGAAATCCATTCGCCCGGGCACTCGCCCGAATCTGGGAAGAACTGCTTGTGGCCCGAGTTGACACGCCATTTCAACATCTCACCGACCTTGCCCAGACAATTGCTGTTGACGGCCTTAACAACTAGATCATGGGGGTATCTGATGGGACAAAGACATGCGTGCCCAAATATACATGTACACCTAATATGTGTGTATATTTGTATACAGTATACACCCATGTGTTCATAAATATAAACATAGATAGAAATGATATATGTAACTATAACTGTCTGTAAGTATGATTACAAGTACAAATGCAAAAATGAATATTTAAAAAATTTACACACAATTGCGCCACAATTCCTTCTTGATTCTATATGGCGATATAATTATAGCCGTCGTATAGGTTTCGAAAGAAGGGGTGGAAGAGCACATATATATATATATATATGAGGAAGCAAAACCACTCAAGAGGAACAGAACCGTTCGCAGGAAATTGCATGTCGAGTCCTTCGCTGCATCAAAAAATAGAAAGGAACACTGCCACACAAAGGTACTGAAACCTCAATAAAGTGAAAGAAAACAAAATGTCAGCCTTATAGGGAATAGAAAAACATGGAAAACGTATCAAAAACGATGACAACAACAAGGCAAACAACAACAACAA